TGAATTACTCTTTTTAAATATATATTTAAGTGTGAAATATTAATAGAATATAAAAACCAATAATAGGCCATGTAAAAAAATTGGAATCTATATTTGTCATAGATAATTAATCTAAAACAATCCTTAATTATTAAATATAGTATTGAGTTTCATAATTTTAGTCTTAAACATAATGGTGGAACTTTTTCCTCTTTGAAATGTTCAAGATTCCTTGGAAGGAATTCTAAAAATGATAATTACTAAATATTATACCATTATTATCCATAAGTAATAGAAACTTTAGAAACAGTTAAAAATAAAAGATTATAGAAATTATGCAGTGAAGGAATAGCTACAATGTAGATAAGAATGGTAGTTAAAGAACGGTAGTTAATATGAAACTCTGACTTGAATTTATATTCACATTTTCATTATATAATCTTTCTGAATTGCTGCTACCTTGTTTCATTAAGCTTCTGTGCACTGCCTGAATTTGATTACTCTTGTTCCCACTTCATGCCATAATCTGTCAATCTGTCAAATGTCTAATACCAAACAGTGCCTAGACAAGTTAATGATTTGGGGGGTGTGGGTGGTTAGGTAGTGCTAGGGATTAAACACAGTGCCTTGTGCATGCTAGGAAAGGGCTCCTTCACTGATCCCAAATTATTTATTTAATCAGTAACTTTGTCCTTTTAAGAAACTGATGATACATAAATAGTGTAATTTCTAATTCTCTAAATTCAACTGTAATTAGAAAGTTGAAACAAGGATAACAATTGAGAATATTAAATGGGAATAGAAATATTGTCCTCTAAAAATAAAACTGTAAATTCCAAATATTGAGTATGAACCAATAAAAATCTCCCTGGCTAGTTAAAATACCATAGAACCCAACAATTTAACAATTGATTACAATGATTTGTGGAAGCCCTCAGTTTATTATACATACTGTACAAACAAGGTAAACATTGTCTAAGATGAATCGTCTTTAAAAATCTTAGGCACCAAAATATTCAGTGCTCTGGAGTTCTATAATGATTGTCTGTACTGAAGTCAGTAATGAAGATCTATAACCTTTTGTTGTAATTCCACAGTGCTGAGAATCCTTGCTTCAGGTATCCTTGGTGATAGTGTGAAAATGAGACAAACATTAACTGTGTCTTAGTTTTTGAAAGCAGGAAACAGAATAGATGAAGTGATTAGAGTGTTTGAATGCATTGGCCAGCATAACCTGACATTGATTTGAAAGGTAGTAGATTGCAGTTCAGAGGATCCTATTGCTATGTTAATCTCTCCCTGGAAAGTGTGGCTCTATGTGTAATATTTTTAGAGCTTTGAATTTATCATTTCAAACAAAGAATGGCAAAAAGAAATGTTTTGATCTCAGAACTGGCCATTGTTTGAATGAATTTGAACGAAATAATTCTCCAAATTACTAAAGTAAGAAACCAGACTCTCTAGCATGGGAAAAACAGTACTTTGAACTGACATCCTAGTGGCCCTAAGAGAATAGAATGAAAAGCAAAGAATTGCTCCAAAGAGTCACTGAATTTTCAGTGTTAATGTCTCTATTAAAAAGGGAAAAAAAGAATAGTTAGAAAATAATAAATACTGATTTCATGAAAAGCATGTCAACCAGAATTTATTGATCATATGCAGAGAACTAAACTGAGCAATCTAAGGACTAAAGAGAAAGAAGAAACAGCCTCTGTCATTTTATGACTTCTTCTTGGAGTTTATTTTCAGATAAAAACTGATCACAGTTGATAATATAAAAATTATAAATATCTTGATTATCTACTGTTATGTAAACTATAAATGTGAAAATATAAATGGTCTGATTAAGATCTACACAATTAAGAAGAAAAGAACAAAGAGTGTATTCTATGAGGCAAAGGACATCTAGACAAAACCCTATAGAGAAGCACCTGCCTGAATCCCCCCCTTCTTTGTTAAACACAATCAATTCATTTGTGTAAGTTTGGGAGATGTTACTAATTGATGAAGAAACATTACTTCTGCCACCCCTTAAAATTTTTAGTTTTCTTTCCACTTCTTTACATTTCACATGTGATATGTTCCTTACAAACTTAGACTTCCTTTTAAATTCAAAATCTGAATTAAGATCTGCACTAATTCATTCTTATTTCCCTATGACTCCACAAAAATCTCCCCGACTCTCAATGGCCTAGACTCTTTCTCCAAATTAAATTAGGAACTCTTGGAACATTGAGGTCCCAAATAGGCACAGCCACATTCTCCTCAATTTGTTACATTAAAATATTATTCTCCTTAGGGTACCTCTTTAAGGTAAATCCTTCTCACTACTCAGGATCTCATCTCCTCACATCTCCCCGGAAACCCTAGCTAAGGATAATTTCTATTTTAGCCTCCTCTCTACTAGAATCTTCTCCTAAACATTTAAATGGGGTAGGTACAATATCTCCTACCTTAAAATAATTTCCCTTATCCCCACATTTTACTCTGGATACCATCTTAACATTCTTTTTTGCACAAGGATAATTTTTCAAAAGATTATTCTATATTAGCAGTCTTACCCTCCTCTAGAGAATATTATTAATTATGTCTGTGTGTGAAGGATGGAAGTCTTCATGGACAAAGTCTTACAGAGTGAGTGAAAAGGTTCCACTGGGCCTAGGTAAAGAGGATAAGTAAAAATGGAACTGCACAAACCAAAGCATAGAGTCATAGCCTAGCCAGAAAAGTGGTTCTGTGCCTTCCCGGTTGGTAGGTAGGTAGGTAGGTAGGTAGGTAGATGGAAAGAACAAAAGAAGTAGGTTTGGAAAGGATTGGAGATACAGATTATGATATAGTTTTGAACAGCTTTAAAGTTAGGTTTAGATTGGCTTCATTGACCTGTAAAATATCTGTGTAAATAAAATAATAACTCCTCTTAGCAGTCTGTCTCTCAAGGGCACTGAAATAAGATAGTCTAAGTTTACATCCTGGTTATCACTTTCTGCATGACTTTAGAAATTTTATTCAGTATCTCTGTTCCTGTTTTTTTTTTAATATGTTTAGTAGAACCATTAAGTGCAGTACCTCAATTATGAAAATTCAAACATTTCAATAACTTACCATATAGCGCTATATATAAGAATCAATAAATATTAATAGCTATCTGCTGTTACGATATTTCTCAATAAACAGTATGGAAAGAGAATTGTTACATATATCCTTTCATGCATAAAGAAAGCTCATGGCAGCACCATTTGCAATTGCAAAATAAATGGAACAAGGGAAGAAAACATTAGAGAAGTTAATTTGCAAAGAAAAATTTATCTTTTGGTCCATTTATTACAAAGCAAAATAAAATGTGTGCCAAATTTAGAAAGTATATTTGGAATGGTTGCACAACATCTAGTTTATATGAAATGCATAAAATTCCCTTTGAGAAATGAGGCAGAATGGTATAACCACTGATGGAAGGAGAATAGTCTCTCAAGAGCAGCCAAGGTGAACATCTGAGTACCTTGATAGAAGAGTGGTCTCTGTCCTGGAGAGTAGCTAAAGCTGAATTTAAGGAGAAGCTGCTATGACTGCTTATAAAAGTGTGCTCTTTCAAGGCTAGTTGAACACCATAGGGTCTCTCAAAGGTTCCTATCTTACAATTATCCAGGAATCAAACAGAAATAAAGTATTTGAGGGGGTAGGGTGACAGTTCCTTCCAAAATGTGATCGAGTAAGATTATGTTACATAAGTACAAAGGAAAAACCCAACAGAGCAAATATATCCATATAATGTAAGATCATATTAGAATCAATTACTATTAAATATCCCAAATGGTGGAAGGACAGTATGGTATAAGGGTTCTTTGTGACAACGTTGAAAATAATCATAGCTCTACATTAGTTATTATAATTATATTTAATTAGTAAAACTCCAATATTAATACCTTTATTATATCCATTCAACAACATTTAACAATGGTTAAAGATTCATCTGAGCAATTTAAGGTAATATATCTCATTAATATGATAAAGTAAGTTTGTTAATATAAAAAGTATTGGTTTGTTAATTAGAAAATATGCATAACTATTTCATTGAACAAGTTAGCCCTGGAAGGTAAGAAATAAGTAACTATGACTTTACTCTTTCACTTTATTACTTTTCCATGTGTTCCAGTGTATCTTCCACCTGCACCTCTAACAGATAAGGCTGTGACAGTCACTCGCAAATTAGTGAGTAGTCTCATTTTACAGGTATTAGTAAGGCCTATCAAGTATAATACAAAGCTTCAATATTACCTAATTCAGAATTTCTCTCCTTCCCCAACTTTGTCCTGCCTCACGGTGTGAAGCCTATCCTGAGGAAGGCAAACATGTAGATATTTCTAGATTCAAATGTGCATGGCAAACCCCAACAACTTAAAAAAAAAGGAAATTCATTTCCTTTTCATGTAAAATCCAGAGGTAGGCTGTCCAGGTCTGAAAGGGCAGTACCACACAATCATCAAGCACTCAACTCACTCTACCAGCTTATCCCTCATTCTCAGCTTGTGACTTCCACCTCAACCTAGCAAGGCTGAAAAAAAAAAAAAAAACTCAGATTATCATAACTAAAATCACTCTGGCAGTAGAAAAGAAAGATGAAGGAAGTTCTGCACCCTGCTCAGAGTTACAATTGGCATTGTTGCTTACATCAGGACCAAACTTGACCATGTGACCTCTTTCAGTGGCAAGAAGACCAAGAAATATTTGGGGCTAGTCATGTGCTCAGTTAAAAATTATCTAATTACAAAATTATATTATTCACAATTTTTTAAAGGATAATAATAGGTCTGGGGAAACGGCTAGCATTCTTGGAAACAGCACACAAAACCATCGTCATCATCAGTTTCCTGCCACTCATATACTTCTTCCCCACTCTGACATTCATTCTTCTAGGTTATAGTAGGTGAAGAAAAAGAAGGAAGAGGCAGAACACATACAGGTGACTGGTGGGGTACAATCTGATGCCAGTGCTCTCATGAGAAAAAGGTCTCATGTTTACCTACCCTTTTGGGGGAGCTTTTGTGGACTCCATTTAACAATGGGGAAGTGATCTTCAGGACAAATCTCTCTGCTTTCTTTTTGCTAGAATGGGTGTCGCCTTGTCCAGCTGGCTGTGAACCACCTTGCAGTAATCCACCCTGCCAGTTGGCTGTACCTATTGGTATAAAGTCATCCTGAAGACCTGTGTAATTAGAATCGCTTTCAGAGCAACTCATAGCCAGCTCCTTTCTGGGCAACAAAAACAGGCCGATTTTCTGGAATTTCTAGAATTGTAGCTCATCTTCTGTTGCTTTCTCTCCCTGTTCTACCATAAGGCAAGTAACCAGCCTCTCAATGTTGGCCTTTTAAATACCCAGTTTGGATGCTGGTCTTTGCTTGTCTCAGCTTCCAGACCTGCAGCCAGGTCCTCAGGATGATTTTGTCTAATAGCCCCTTACTTTCTCACTGGTTTAGGATGAAGTCTTCTCCTACCATATTGTATGGGAAAACTAAATAATAGCTGAGCTCTCAACAATGCTTCCTTTTAAAAAATACCTCACTCATCAACCTCTCCCACTCAGCAGTCAAGTCCCCCCTCATCTACTCCCACAGTGGCAAAAGGGAAGAGGCTAGTGAAGTTTAAGTCACACCCAAGCAGTTTGGTACTCCTGGTCTGATACCCATCTTGAATGTGGAATAAGGTGACCTCTAATTAATGCTTAAAGTCTCATCAAATGCAATGAGAGAATTCCAAGTTCATTTTTTCAAAAGCTTTTTTGAAGTATAATAAACTGTACATAATTGGAATGTGCAGTTAAATGGTGATATGTGTCAGCACCATGGAACCACAACCATAATCAAGTTCACAAATATTTCCATGACACCTCCAGAGTTCCTTGGGCCCCATTGTAATCATGCTTCTTTGGCCTCATCAAACCCTAATCCTGCCCCAGAAAACTACTGATCTTTCTTCTGTGACTCCACATTCATTTGTATTTTCAAGAATTTAATATATATTGAATCAGAAAGTATCTTAATTTTACTCTGACTTTTGTCATTTTTTTATATTTCTATCATTTGTCTTTATAGACCATATATTGAGTTCATTTATTTTTATCACCAGTTCATCGTATAAAAATGCCAGATTCTGTTGTACATTCACAATGAATGGATAATTCTAATGTTTCCAGCTTGGGACTAAGATAAATAATGCTAACTTGAACATCTATGTATGTTCATACATCATACAACATCTAGTCTTTGTAGAGACATGCTCTTATTTCACTTAGGTTAATAACTAGGAGTTGAATGGAAAGTTCATGTGGTAGATATATTGTTAAGTTGCCAAAAAACTACCGGTTTTCTAAAATGATTGTACAATTCTTCATTCCCACCAGTAGTGTTTGAGAGTTTCAGTTTCTCTATCAAAATTTGATTCTCACCAAGATTTGATATGATTGGTATTTTCAATTTTAACCATTCTAAAATTTAGCATAATGGTACTAACTCTGGGTTTAGTTTGCATTGCGTCTTATGATTGATGTTGAGCAACTATCCTTGCAATTATTTACCTCCTTCTAGTTTCCTATTGCCACTGTGACAGACTACTATGAAGTCAGCAGCTAACAACATTAAAAACATATCATATTATGGCTGAGATGTCTGAAATGAATATTCCTGGGCTAAAATCAAGTCACCAGCAGGGCTGCATCCCTTCTGGGGGCACTAGGTATGGCTGTTTTTTACCTTTCCTGACATTAGAAACTACCAATATTCCTTGGCTCATGGCCTCTTCCTCTTACTTCAGGGCCAGTAAGGTCCAGACAAGTCATACATTGCATCTCTGACACTGACTCTTCCCCCCTTCACACATTTAAGGACACTGTCTTAAATGTGCCCGTGCCCCATATTGTTTAATTGATTTATTTATATATCTTTAGACAAAGACATAGTCTTGATTATTATAGCTTCAACTAGGTTTAAAATGAAGTAGCATAAACCCTTTGAATTTATTTTTTTTAATTTTCAGAGTTTGACCATTGTATAACCTTAAAATTTCCCTGTGGATTTTGTAAGCAGTTTGGCAATTTTTATAGAAATTTTTAATTTTTTTTACTGGGACTACATTTTTTGATACCAATTTTGGGGAGATTCAACATTTTAATACTAGATATTTGAATCATGGTATATATTATCAAAATTTTTATTTTTCTCAGCAATGTTTTAAACTTTTCAGTACATTTTGCATTTATTACAAAAAATGCTATTTTAAAATTTCAAGTTGTTAATTATTACTAGAGATGTTATTAGTTTCCATGCTCACATGTTATTTTTTCAGTCTTATTTTCTGTTTTGCACTTTTTATAATTTCTATTGCCAAGTCTACAAGTTCATTAATCTTTTTTTTCTATAATCTGTTATTAATTCTATTCAATGTTTTTGTCATTTTAGACATAGTCATTTTTATCTCTGTGAATGCAATTCTGGTCTTATTTATATTTTTCACGTTTCTCCATAACCTTTTCTCTACACTTAACACATGGAACACAGCTACAATGATTGTTTTCATGTTCTCATCAACAATTCTATTATCTGTGCTCTACTGGGTCATGTTTCTCTTGATTGATCTTTGTCTTAATTATATGTCATATTTTACTGATTCCTTCTTTGCCTGGAACTTTTTATTGGGTACCAGACATTATGAATTTTTACCTTAAAAATGTGATAATTTTGTACTTTTAATCATATTCTTGGGTTTTGTTTTGAAGGGAATAGATTAACTTGAAACAATGTGAGTTTTTTCATGCCTTTAAGCTTTGTTATGTAGGGATAAACATAAAATTTAGTTTGGAGCTAATATCAACCCACCACTGAGGCAATACAATTTAGAGTGCTCTATCCCAAATTATGCCCATGAATTATGACTTTTCTCAATATATCTAGTACATATAGGAACTGTTACCAGCCTTGTGGAAATCTTAGAGATTACCCCTTTAATCCATTCAGGATTCTTGAGTGTTTTTCTTCCTGACCATGGTTAAATTCCACACTATTCAGTGCTCAGCTGAAGATTTGAAAGGTACCCATTTTGGGTCTTCAGAATTCTCTCTGTGAGGGAACTCTATCTTTGATTGCAGAGACTCTCAGTTCCATCTCAGAGGGACTGCTGGGCTCTTACTAGGTTCTTTCTCCTTGTGCTATAACATGGAAATTCTTGTCATGCTATAAGCTGCAACACAGTTGTAGGATTCATCATCTTCATTTCCCATTTCTTAGTAACCATTATGCCTTATTACCTGATGACCACTGACATGACAACTACTGTTTCACTTATTTTGTCAAGTTTTTTAGTTGTTTCAGGCAGGAGCATTGTGGTAGAATTCTGAAATGGCACACACAGGATTCCCAACCCCTAAGTACACAATGCTTTGTCTTAGTTATATAATCAAACATCAAATTAATCTAATAACTCCTATGAAGGAATTTTTGCAGGTGTAAAGTTCAAAATCAGCTGACCCGTCGGGGCAATTTACTGAGTGGATGTCATCTAATAACATAAGTCCTTTAAAAGCAAATATTTGTCTCCTGCTGGTTGCTGATTCAACATACAGCTGCTGACTTTAAAAAAAAAAAAAAACCACCACCACCACCACCACAACAACAAAAAAAAACAGGGTCTATGTGACAAGGTATGTAGATGGGCTTTGGGAGCTGAACTGGTTCCAGCTGGTAAGAAAGCAGGAACCTCAGTCCCACATTGGCAAGGGAATGAATTCTACCATCAGGTGAGCTTAAAAGAAGAAAGCCCTGATCCTCCAGTGAGAACCACAGCCAATGTATTTTTAATCTAGTGAGACACTTTCAACTTATACGACTTAATATAGAAAAATTGTGTTGTTTTAAACCACTAAGTTTATGGTAATTTCTAGGTAGCTATATAATAAACTAAGGCAAGGGACCATCTATCTCAGAAGTAGAATTCACTCATTAAAAAACCTATTTTAATATCTTATAGCAAACATTTGTAAAAATATTTCTGGCATTAGAAAAGACTATAGTTTTCATTGTATAGATCTTTCACTATACAGGTTTAATACAATTCTGATCAAAATCCCAATGGCATTCCTCATAGAAATAGAAAAAACAGTCATGAAATTCATCTGGAAAAATAAGAGACCCAGAATAGCTAAAGCAATTTTAAGCAGGAAGAGTGAAGCAGATAGTATCGCTATACCAGACCTTAAACTATACTACAGAGCAATAGTAACAAAAACATCATGGTATTAGCACCAAAACAGGCCGGTAGACCAATGGTACAGAATAGAGGACACAGAGACTAACCTAAAAAATTATAATCATCTTATATCAGACAAAGGTGCCAAAAACACGCACTGAAGAAAAGATAGCATCTTCAAAAAATGGCGCTAGGAAAACTGGAAATCCATATGCAACAAAATGATACTGAATGCCTATCTCTCACTATGCACAAAAGTATAGTGGAATTAAACCAGAGACTCTGCATCTAATAGAAGAAAAAGTAGGCCCTAATCTTAATCATGTGGGATTAGGCCCCAACTTCCTTAATAGGACTCCTATAGCACAAGAATTAAAACCAAGAATAAATAAATGGGACGGATTCAAACTAAAAAGCTTTTTTCTCAGCAAAAGAAACAATCTGTGAGGTGAACAGAGAGCCTACATCCTGGGCTCACTCATCAGACAGAACACTAATCTCTAGGGTATATAAAGAACTCAAGAAGCTAAGCACCAAAAAAAATCAGATAACCCAATCAATAAATGGGCCAAAGATCTGAACAGACACATCTCAGAAGAGGATATATAATAAATCAACAAATATATGAAAAAATGCTCATTATCTCTAGCAACCAGAGAAATGCAAATCAGAACTATTCTAAGATATCATCTCACTCCAGTCAGAATGGCAGCTATTACAAAGACAAACAACAAATGTTGGCAAGGATGTGGGGGAAAAGGTACACTCATACATTGCTGGTGGGACTGCAAATTGGTGCAGCCAATTTGGAAAGCAGTGTGGAGATTCCTTGGAAAGCCGGGATTGGAACCACCATTTGACCCAGCTTTTCCTCTTCTCAGACTATACCCAAAGGACTTAAAAACAGCATACTACAGGGACACAGCCACATCAATGTTTATAGCAGCACAATTCACAATAGCTATACTGTGGGGCCAACCTAGATGTCCTTCAGTGGATGAATGGATAAAAAACAATGTGACATTTATACACAATGGAATATTACTCAGCATTAAAAATGAACAAAATCATGGCATTTGCAGGTAAATGGATGGCATTGAAGAAGATAATGCTAAGTAAAGTCAGCCAATCCCCAAAAAACAAATGCCGAATGTTTTCTGATATAAGGGGGGTGACTCATAATGGGGTAGGGAGGGAGAGCATGGGAGGATTAGATTAATTCTAAATAGGGAAGAGGGGTGGGAGGGAAAGGAATGGGGAAGGGGATTAGCAAGGATGGTGGAATGTGATGGTCATCATTATACAAAGTACATGTATGAAGACTTGAATTGGGTGTCAACATACCGTATATACAAATAGAGATTTGAAAAATTGTGGTATATATGTGTATTAAGAATTGTAATGCAAAAAATATGTGTATAATGGTATAAATTGACGTGAACATACTTTATATACAGAGATACAAAAAATTGTACTCTCTATGTGTAATAAGGATTGTAAGGCATTCCACTGTTGTCATGTACTTAAAAAAATAAAATCAATAAAAAAGAATAGACTATAGAGTTGGGAGAACAAAGTACATGTCATGCTTATTGTTTTCCTAAGATTGCTATAACAAAATGCCGTGAACTTGAAGAAGCTGGCTTAAAACAACATAAACGTATCTTTTTATAATTGTAAAGACTGGCCATCTAGAACCAAGGTGTGTGCAGGAAGGTTGTCAGGGAGCATTGTTTCCTGCCTCTTTTATTGTCTGGAAGTCATCAGCATTCTTTGGTTTCCTTGGCTTGTGGCCACATTATTCTTAACCCTTCCTCTGTTTTTATATCACTACTTCCTATGTGTGTTTTTTTCTTCCGTTCTGTCTCAAATGTTCCTTGTCTTTTCCTGATAGGGATGTTTGTCCTTGGATTACCATTATTTTCAATATGGACAATTCATGATTATCTCCTCCCCAATTTACCACCTTAAACATTTTCTCATCAAAAAAGCCAACTAACATTATTTTTTTACAAAAATGATTTAATAGCTATATAGACGATTAACTACAAGAATGGTTAAAAGACTACTGCCCTTGTACAATCCAAAATGGACTTTGAGATGAACTAAGTAGCTATCAAGAGAGAAATAGGACTGGGTCAAAGAGAAGGAAATAGCAAGATGTAGTGACTAACTACAATTGAAGGACAACAGAGAAATTCAGGTGAAGATCTAGGCATCATAGTGCCTAGTGGTAACATTACCAAAAAAAAAGATGCATAGGTTTTAAAATATAGATGAACTCTGCTTTGGGGCTATCTGGTTTTAGAGACTATGGGACTCATTTTGATAATTACCATTTGATTATTACCATTGCACTTTGGTTTTCATGGCCAAACTCTGTAATTAACTCCTTAAGCACCTCTTTAATCTTCACAGTTACAGTGGAACATATTTGGTTTTAGTCTCTTTCTCATTTTGTAAATGGAGAATCCTGGGCTTCAGGGGTAATTCAGTGGTAGAGTCTTTGCCTAGCATGCATGAGGCCCTGCATTCGATGGTCCGCATCTGGGGGGAATCCAAATGTAACCATTATTTGAGATAGACGGATAATGGAGAGACAAGGGAGCTCATAAAAATAATAGTGTCTGCTTATTTAAAACTAGATGAAGAAAGATATCAAACAGTGAGGTAGCCAGATAATACATTCAGATGAGTGACACAATGAAGATGCCATTACAGAGAAAGAAAAGCAGCTGTGGTCTAATTCATTCTCACATTTTCTAACATCCCCAACTCAGGAATTATTTCTGATGGCCAGAGTATAATTGTCCAAACTGTCAACTTTTAAATTTAAAAGGAGCTTAAATTAATAATGAGTCTGGAAGAGCACATGAAAGAATTCCTGAATAATTGCATTAGTTAGAGATTAGTCTAAGCTATTCTAACCAAGAGACTGAAAAATACATGAAGAATATGGAAATGAATTTTTTTCTTTCTCATAAAATAGCCAAGGAAAACAGGTAATCTCAGGGATATCATGCTAGGATCTGGGTGGCCAGATAGTTTTTCTATACATAATATCTCAAATTCCAAGATTTTTTCAGTTTGTCACCATTTTCGACCATCAAAAAGAAAAGGGAGAGAAAATCCAGGCTAGGCATCTTAATTAGTTGAATCAGAAATTGAACACATGATTCTATTCACATGCCACATTTAAGAATTTAGGCACAAAACCACACTAGTAAGAAAGTATAAAGGATTTGGGGTTTGACTAGCAGATTTTGCTGCAATGAGCTAACTCTAATAATTTAATTTTTCCCTCCTACATTGTAACAGGATGAATAAAAAACTTATATTTAGGGCTGGGAGATGTAGGTCAGTGGTAGAGCACTTGCTTAACATGTGAGAGGCCATGGGTTCAATCCCTAGTACTGCAAAAAATATTTGCACTTATTATTAACTAGTGATACTATCTCAAAGAGCTGTGTATAGCTGATAAAAATTCAGAACATATAATCATAAAACATAAGATCAAAAGTCACAGACTATGTATGCTACACCTTGTCTGTAGCTTTACAAAGTTTTCAAATTTATTTTTGTTTGCCTTTGCTTAAGTATATACTGTACTAGTTTGAACAGTTGAAAGAGTTGTTGTAGTAAATCAATAATCAATGTGAGCTTCTTTCACCTTAATAATATAGACTTACAGATCTTAAATTAATAGAAACAATATTTCAAGATTTGTTATTAAAAAAAAGAAGAGAAAATCACAATAAATTCTCAAAAATCAACAATGAAAAGGTAAAATTTGACACTTTTTAAAAATACTGCCGAATTAAGAAATCCCTGGCATTAAAATTGATTCAAGATGTAAACAAAATCAATTGCAAATCATTTTATTGTGAAATTGAATTATCACAAGGATATCAAATATTATGTCATTGTAGTTGAATATAAAATAATGATTACAAGTAAATGTTAACATGCATTCATCAGTATGTTACGATAAACAGATGGGATTAAGATGACTAAGACTACTAAGTCAACATCTGAAACTTCTAAAAGTAAAAATAAAGCACATGTATCAACTAGATAAGGTATACATATACCTCCGACATACAGATTCTAGATTCTTGCTTTTTAATATTGGCTGT